TGCGTGGATTCAAGAGCTGGGCAGAAAAAAAAAAAGAGCTGGGCAGACAGAATTTCTATCCACAGGGAGTAGACAGTCTTTGTGAGATAGACAAATATTAAAGAGACAAGGAAAGATGGGCAATTTGTACAAAATTATGGTAATTTAAATAATGTCTGATGTGGGCCTGAGAGAAGGCTGCCTTTAAAGCACTTGCCTCACGAGTGTGAGGACCAGAGTTCAGATCCTCAGGACATGTGTAATGCCCAGTGGGTGTGGCTGCCCACCTCTGGTGCCAGATTAGACATGGGACATGGGATCCCCAGAACAAGCTGGCTGACAAGACCAGCCACATCAGTGAGCCCTGGGTTTGATTGGGAGACCCTGACTCAATGAACATTGTGGACAAGTGATTCAAGATGATTCGTGACATCAGTCTCAGGCTTCCACACACACATGCCCAAACACACGTGTGTGCCAGCAGATATGAATACACACACATACAAATACAGATACACACATACATGCACATACACCACACACATGAAAATTGAAGAAGAAAAATAATACATTAAGATTCTTTTTTCTTTTGAGACAATCTCATTCATCCTAGGCAGGCCTTGAACTCACCATACAACTGAGGATGACTTTGAACTCCTGATCCTACTGTCTGCTCCTCCCAAGTGCCAGATTACAGATGTGCATGACTATGCCAGGCATTCACTTAAAGACACTAGCTAGTTTATTTTCTATTCTAGAATGGAGCAACACTTCAGTTCATAAAACAGAATTAGTGTTCCTAGGATCTGAGCTAATGAGGCTGATTTTCTAGACAGAGAAAGACCACGGCAATCAAGAAACAAAACTAGGCCGGGCAGTGGTGGTGGACACCCCCAGCCTGGTCTATAGAGTAAGTTCCAGGACAGGTGCCAAAGCTACGTAGAGAAACCCTGTCTCTAAAAACAAGACAAACAAACAAAAACAAAAACACCAAAAACAAAACAAAACTAAGTCTGGACCAGGCCATTTCAAAGGCTCTTGCCTTCTGAGATGGGGACAGAGCAATGGAAAACTGATTGGTTAATATTTGATCATTTCAGGGTGTTTGTTCGCTCCTTTGGTTGGCTGGTTTTTGTTTGTTTGTTTGTTTGTTTGTTTGGGGGTGTTTTGTTTGTTTTGTTTTGTAATGATTAAAGGCTGCAAGAGTGAGAAAATGAGGCAGAGGAAACATCGTTACCATGAGTTGGAGTTAGCCCACTGGGGGAATCTGGAAGTTACCCCTCATTTCTTTGACTCTTGAAAGGTCAAATAAATGGTTTACGATTGGTTTGATGACATGGAACTTTAGCATGGTGACTTCTCTTTGATGTTTTGTGTATGCGCATGCATGTGTGTGTGTGTGTTCCTCTACGTGTATGCATGTGTGCAGGTACATAGAGGGCCAAAGGTAACACTGGGCATTTTCCTCAACCAATTTTCACCTTACCTTTTGAGGTAGGTCTCTCATTGAACCTGCAGTCTTCAGATTTGTCTAGACTGGCTGGTCAGTAAGCACCCCTGGATTCTCTGGGCCCGCTTCCTCAGTGCTGGCCTTACAGGCAGGAGTCCACACTCAGTTATTATGTAGTGGCTGAAACTGAACTTGGATCCTCAGGTTGGTAAGGTAAGTACTTTACCGGCTGAGCCATCTTCCCACATGCTCTCTTTTTGACTTTGTATGTTGTATGACACACAGTACAAAAGCCTAGTCTAGATCAATGACCTCCTATGATTTTTTTATCTAACAAATTAATGAGCTGATCAGGGGATAGACTCATTTTATTCTAGGCCACAATGTGTGTACACGTGTGCTCACGCACAGGCATTTATGATTGTGTTCGTCACTGTGATTACACAGTGAAGAAACTATGTGAGCTTGCATACATACGTTTGCCTGTCTCACTGTTTAATGTTCTGCTTATTGATACCCTGATCAATACCCATAACTCAGCATTCTGTTACATAAGTTGATTGATACCCTTGGTGTATCTTGGTCCTTCTGTATTTGTGTTGCTTTCATTGGCTAATAAAGAAACTGCTTTGGGCCTGGTGATAGGGCAGAGCTTACGTAGGCGGGGTAACAGAACTGAATTCTGGGAGGAAGAAAGCAGAGTCAGAGAGAGCTGCCATGGCGCTGGCAGGTCAGACATGCTGAATCTTTCCCAGTAAGCCACGACCTCATGGTGACATACAGATTATTAGGAATGGGTTGAATCAAGATGTGAGAGTTAGCCAATAAGAGGCTAGAACTGGTCAGGCAGTGTTTAAATGAATACAGTTTCTGTGTGATTATTTCGGGTATAAGCTAGCCGGCTGGGACGAAAAGCAGGCCCACTCTCCTTCAACATACCCTGACCAATACCCATGACTCAGCATTCTGTTACATGAGTTGA